GCCGGCCGGGTTCTTTTTATATACGGGCCCCCGCCCCACACGTGCGCCGGGGTGGACCCCATTTTACAAAATTTGTCAAAACAAACCCAACGTGCGGCGCCCCCCCCCCCCCCCCCCCCCCCCCGGGGGGGACCCCAACCCCAACCTCCTGCTCATTCCCATTCCCTGCTCATTCCCCTCGCTGCGTGATTCTGCCTGGCCCTCCGCCGCCTGCCGTCTGCCGTGTCAGTCAAGATGCACGGACAGCAACACATGCTTCGAAGGCACAGACAGTTAGGTACCCGGCCCACACCAGCTGCAGGCTGGGCAACATGGACGACAACGAAGCCATTTGCCGGCTGGGGAAATGCCTTCCCCACTCGGGCAACCCCGCTTCGCATGGCGTCTGCATCCCCACACACCCACGGCAGTAGATCTGATATTGCGGAGAGAGACATTGCCTGGCTTGCGATTGGGCCTGTCTTCCGAGGTATCTCCAATCTCCACCCGTTTCCTATAATTGACCGCATTCGACATGGCAATAAAGTGCCCGATACCTTCCTTTTGGAATAGCACATTCTTGAACGTCCTGTCTGGACGCTGTCAGACCAACCGACAGAACATTCCATCGAGTTGCCAAGCTCGTTGCCGGCTCGCGCTGCAACAGACTGTCACACCCTTTCCCCAGATTCGGGACTTCGCCCATCCAACTTTTTTCAGATTTGAAATTGGATCACGGTCTAATATTCCCCTCCCCGGTGCATAAAAGACACTTCGTTTGCCCCCCGCCCCTCGTTGAGACCACAGATTCGACCTGCATCGTGGGAACACCACACACACCTCCCTAATCTCCCGCCCCCGGTCCCTATTTCCCCGAAGTATACCCACCCCCTGTCTGCAATGTTCTCAGAGCGCATCCTTGAGCTGGGCAGTCTCGCGAGCCTCCGGGAAGCCTTTGGGGAGACCTCGCCATGGACTGCCGTTGCCACCTTCCTGGCTATCGCCGTGTTCGCCGTGGCGGTCGACTACGCCCGCATGCTGCGGTTGCGGTCCAAGATGGTTCAGTGCCACCCCTTCCTCCATATTGTCGAACATCAAAGGGCACATTTGACTGACGTCGATCGCAGCCACCCGGTCCGTTCCCTCTGCCTATTGTGGGGAACACCTTCATGCTCCCCGAGTGCAAGCCCTGGCTCTGGTTTGAGGAGCTGTCCCACAAGTACCAGAACCCCCTGATCACTGTTTGGATTGGAAGGTAAGGATTGACATGGCTGTGCAATAATAATATCATGTAGTGTTCCTTCATGCTGACACATGCATCATCAGGAACCCTACCATCTGGCTCAATGATGCCTGGACCGCGTCTGAGATCCTCGACAAGCGGGCTGGCATCTATTCGTCGCGGCCTAGGATGGTCGTCTTCGCCGAGCTCGGTGCTGGCCAGAGCAACATGGTCAACATGTACACCACGACCCCCGAAGAGCGGGAGCGGTGGCGTATCCACCGCAAGCTGATGCACCACGCCGTGGGCACCCAGTCCATCCGCAGGTACCGCGACTTCCAGAACGACGAGAGCAAGCTCGTGGCCCACGAGCTCCTCTCGAGCCCCGCCGACTACGTCAAACACTTTGAGAGGTACGCCACCAGCGTCGTGTCCATCATCGGCTTCGGCCGCCGCGTCGAGAGTTTCAACGACCCCATCATCACCGAGGTCATCGCCGTCATGCACCTCGCAGCCGACCTGAACGTTCCCGGCAAGTCCTTCCCCATGCTGATGGAGACCTTGCCGTGGCTCGCCAAGGTCCCCAACGCACTCGCCCCCTGGAAGTACGGCCTGGGACGCAAGCGCGGCACCGCCTTCTTCTACGCCCTGGCCGACGAGGTTGCCAAGAGGGTCGGTCACGAGGATTCCTTCGCCAAGTACCTGTTCTCTAAGCGGGAGGAGTCGCGGCTGTCTCCCGACGAGATCGCCGCCCTGAGTGGTAACCTCTTTGGCGCCGGCAGCGACACGAGCAGCAGCACCCTCATCACCTTTGTCCTCGCCTGCTGCGCCTTCCCCGAGACGCTCAAGCCGGCCTGGGAGGAGCTGGACCGCGTCGTTGGGCAGCACCGGAGCCCGCACTTTGACGATGAGCCCAACCTGCCCTACGTCAAGGCGTTCGTCAAGGAGGTGCTCAGGTGGCGCCCCGTCGCCATCATGGGCGGTCAGCCCCACGCGCCGACCCAGGACGACTACTACAAGGGCTACTTCATCCCCAAGGGTACCTGGATCCAGGGCAACCTCTGGGCCATCCACCGCAACGAGCGTGAGTTCCCCGACCCCGACCGCTTCAACCCCAACAGGTTCATCGCCGGACACGAGGACCACCGCCCCTTCCCCGGCGAGAGGGGCTACATGACCTTTGGCTGGGGCCGCCGCGTCTGCACCGGACAGGCCCTCGCCGAGCAGGGCACTTGGATCTCCGTAGCGAGGCTGCTGTGGGGGTTCAATATCAGCAAGAAGCAGAGGCCTGACGGCAGCTTTGTCGATGTGGACATCTTTAACTACACGTAAGTCATCCCTCCCCCGTTCCCCCCTTTTTCCTCTTTTCCCCCCTTTTCCCATTCACACTTCCCATTCCCATTCCTTTCGAGCCGAATAGCACAGGTAAAGATAGATGGGGGCTAACCGTTGCTCCCTTTCCCCCCTTTCCAGCAACGGACTCAACATGCGGCCCCGACCTTTCGAGTGCAGCTTCACGCCGCGCAGCGAGGAGATCCGCGCCACCATCGAGAGGGAGGGCCGGCTGGCACTGCAAGACTTGGAGGAGTACAGGGGCGAGACCAAGTACCGCATGTCCACCTTCTACCAGGAGAGCACCCGCGCACTTGAGCTCTATGGAGATAAGAAATCATCTTGAGAAACCGTAAATGCCGGAAGGCGGTGACGTGCCCCGACTGGGGGAGCGGTGGAGCGGGGGAAGGGGGAGGGAGACTTTGGAATGACGTGGCTGCATGTACGTGACATTCCGTTCTAGTCCGGGTCCTCGACAGCATCAGCTGGAGAGGTAATCAGCGGGGACAGATGGCTCGCGTGGGAGGTACATGTGAGTGCTTGCTTTCTGGCTGCAAACCAGACAATAGAATGTATATAGGGGTAACCCAAGTCACCGTGAGAGTCACATTATCGATTGCCTTGTCTTGCTTATCGCGGCTTGTGGTATGATGCTGGATCCGGCCTTCGGTGATATTCCTCCGGGGCCTTGTCCTGGGTATGCTATGGCTGGTTCACCAGACTGAACACGATCTGCCGACGGTTCTCAGCGAGCCGCCTCGGCCCCGTTGTCGCGTGACTGTACGAGCGCATCCAAGCATGCTAGTTATCTCCGATACCTGATCGGAGAAGCCAGGACGTGCGCTCGGTTGGTCCATCCGATTGAGCCACGGCACACCAAGGGTAACCCCCCTCTCTTCGCCAAGCGGGGGCGCACCACCACTCCTCACGGCAGAGGCAGACTGTAGCCTAAGGTGTAAGGTGCCTATCTACATATAATAGTTCCCCATCACCGTCAAAGGATTCGGCTACGAGCCGACTGGTCGTTGGGCAACACTCCGAACTGACCCCGAGACTGCGCCGCTAGCCCCGGCTTATGAAAGCCTGGCAGTCGAGCGGCCGCCTCGAGCATTGTCGCTGCCAGCTGCCAGCTGGACACTTGCCGAGCTGCGGCACTGAGGAGTGGAGTGGAGGCTTCGAGCCTGATCGCTGTCGTTGGAAAGGGCCGGCACTGTTTGTGCCCAAAAACGGCTTGATGATTCGACCAAACCCGGTCCTGCCCATCTATGTATGGCCGCTTCTGGGGTACTAAGTATTGCACGAGCCAAAAACAAGACTGGCGTCTGCGTCTGCCTGTTCTCCCAGACGCGAATGCGGGTGTTCGGGGTCTTGCTTCCCTCCGCATTTGTGTTGGTAGTCGGGGAAGTGGTGGCGTTTGGGGAATCTGGTCTCATTGGTCACAAGCCGGGGAGGACCTGGGCGACCTGGGCCTGATCCTCCACCCTATAAATAGTGTGCACTACCCCCGTCTGCAGCGTGCCCGTATATTTGCACGCTGTCGGAACAGTGTAGGCGTGGTTGACCGGGGCCATTGACCTGCCATTCATTAACTATCGTTCATTCATTCATTCATTCATTCGTCTGTCATTGATCTGTCAACGATCTGTCGCTGACCTACCTCCCCAGCCAGCCAGCCGGAGGTGATCCGACGCGCTCTGACGCATTTTGATGAGGGATGGACGACCTTGATGGGTAGCTAGGGAGGAGGTAGGGAGGTAGGGAAGTAGGGAGTCAGGGGCAGATGCCCCCACGCTATACCCAAGACAGAATGACTTCACCGCAATGGCAGATTGATTGATGAGAACCGGGATTGATGCTGTGATGGCAGGAAGGAAGCACGCAGTCCACTAGATGCCTCACAAGTTACCGCCATGCTTTTGCAGATCTTGTCGGATTCTGGTATGGGCGTGTCGGGGTTCCCTGTCCTGGCCAAGCGTCCCAATTCCCAATTCCATGCTGGCGGGTGTCCCGACGCGCAGTGCTGGGACCGATTTCATTGGCGGGGAGGTCGCTTGGCGTCAGTAGGATTGGATTGGCTTCTATCGTTTCCCTTTTCGGGGTTCGCTATTATTTGTCGCGGGGAAAGGGGCGCGAGCATTAGTGGAGGGAGGGCAGTGTAATTAAATTGGACGAGCAGGAGGCAGGCAGTCTTCGCCTCAGCGCTGATCTCCCCATCTACCGCAGGATGGGATTTAGTTCTCCGTGTGTGGAGTAATTCCATGTACTCCGTACAGTACATACCTATGGCTGCACCTCCCTGCGAGTTGGCGTTCGGGCCGGGAGAGCGTCGGCGGTTAAGGGATAATGTCGGTGGGGCTCTTCACTTTGTGGAAGAAAGGACGGCGCCATGAGTCTGGACGACGCGTCGCGGCTTCTCAATTTGGGCGAAAAGACGGCCCAAAAGAACCCAAAGCGATTCTGCCATTTCCCAATTCCTTGTCAGGCGTGCCTGCCAAGGCGGCAGGGCGGGCAGGAGACAGAGTAGAGGGGCTGCAAAACTGCCGCAAATCGCAAATCGCATGTCGCATGGTCTTTTGCGGAGCATTTGAAACCTGTTCTTCGTCCCAAAATCGCCATGTGGGGAAAGGGGGATTTTCCCTCCCGCTCCCACAAGGCGATGATGTTACGGATTGGCAGGATGAGATGATGAGATGAACGGTTCCGTTCCCGGATCGACTCGGTCGCAACACTCGATTTGCTTGGTACACCCACGAATTAAACCTCCCGAGTTGGAGGTTTGGTACACCGGTGCGGGGCATTTGCGCTGTCTCCTCGTCTCCAGTGACCCAAATGGTTCTGCGATGCCATGCTCCCGTAGATTCCGCATTAAGAAGGAACCTACTACTGCGTATGTACTGTACATACATAGGTAGTAATTAGGTGTAGATGAGCAGGTCCAGGACTGATTTAGGTAGGAATTAGGATCCATTTCCACGTGTTTGCCCCCCCCCCCCCCAAAAGTCCCCGCTGCCTGACTTTTTTTTTCTCCACGCATCATGACTCGGTAGGTACCTCTCTACTATGTAGTAGTCTCCAATCCACGGGTTCTAGCCATACCGGCACCGCCGAGCGGAAGCCACTTTCCTACTATGTACCTACTCCGCCCGCCGTACTTAAGAACGGCCCAACTTCTGCCCAACCATCGAAGCTCATTCATCAATTGCTTTGCTTAGATTGGGTTGATCAGACCCATTCCTGGCGATTTTGGCCCGTCGCTTTGTCACAGGACAGAAGGTTCAGAACACACTAGAGTACATGCTAGCCCAGCCTTGGACTAGCGTACTCTGCAGAGAACCGCTACCTGAGGGTTCCAGAACTCGAGTACTTGAAATCCCCCCCGGTTAGCATACTGTGTTACAAAATACGCTAGGCACATCTGTCCGTACCCGAACGCCAGTGTCGGATCCCATCCATGCAACATTATTCCGTGCGCATTCCATGCACCCATCCCTAGGTTCTTTCTCTTCCATCTCTGACACCCTCGGCCCGGTTCGGTCACCCATGCCCGCCTGAGCGATTGGAGATTGCGGATTGGAGAGTCGGGCCTGATTCTGATTCGCACGCAGCCCTTTGTACAGTACCCCCCCATACAGTACACTCCCCTGCGTACCAGCTACCTATGTCTGAGACTCCGTGATGGGACTACATACGCAGTACGAATATGTCAAGCCGGGAACCGTCTCCTGGGGTCGTCCCTTAGCGTCGGTCCACTCGTCTTTAATGCTTGATGAGCTTAAATACAACTTCGTTCCCACCTGCATTCCTGGCCGCCTCCCTTATTCTCGCCCTCCACAGTTTAACGACACGAACAGATCTGTACACTGTGCACGCACTACCCAGACATATATACCTACAGATCAGCACACTCTCGTCTCCGTTGCCTTGCTCACTTCCAACCACCGCCGAGCCCGAATCCCAAACCCGCCCGAACCCACGCCGTCTTCGCAAACCAGCCCCGCATCGCCAGCCCGCCAGCCCGCCCGGCGCCATCACCATGTGCGACTACACCCAGAGAGAGTACTCTTGCGGCCACTTCCGTTGGATCGCGTCGAAATGGTGCAGAGACTACACCGTGACACACAAGAGGTGCCAACCGAACGTGACACACTTCGAATACCGGTATGTACAATACCAAGTCTTTTTGGGAGATGGCATACGCACCAGACACGACAAGAGAGCTAACTGGCATCCAGCGCAGAAGAGATTTGCGGTATGTGATCGGCCTCCCCACTTGTTCTGGGCCCCGTCCGCCCCAGCGACTCCACCTAATCTACTTGGCCACCCATTCCACCTTCGAGCGAGCTGATGGCTGACTTGACTACAGGCGAGTGCAAGCCGAAAACTTATCCTGCCTGGGAGAGCATGATCAAGCGCAACAAGCAGACCTTCAGCCTCTAGACGATCTGAAGTCCGACCCGCGGGGACCGCCGCCCGGGCGCCCTCTCAAAGACCGACGAACATGACGCTCTCTCACATGCGATACACATGACAATCTTACGCACCCCTTGTCTTTTTTTTCTTTTTTTTTTTTCCATCCTCGGACGGCGTCGATATAGATCAGCGAAGGGAATCAGAAACCGCAAGCGACTTTGAATTTTTATTTTTTTTCTGGGCCGGCGAAAGGGAGATACCACCACCTGGGATAGACGGGAAAGACTGCTGATGCTTTTGGTGCAACTGCGATGGGGTTTGTTTTGCTGTGTCTTTCTTATTCTGTACCTTGTACACGTATCGCGCCGTGCAGCACATACATGCCTTGGCAGGGAACTCGGGCATTGGGTGTTGGGTTGGTGGGCAGATGCACTGGCGTTTGGACAGGGATAGAAGATAGAACTAAACCGAACCGAGTTCGGGGTCTTTTGACCCTTTTTCATTGCTTTTTCCTCTCCCTTCCCCCCTCGTGCTCTTTTCGTTCGATCTCTGGGTCTCTTTTTGCCCAACCCCCACCACACACTGCCCCCACCAAAACTCGCCGTAACGCATTTGGGAATCGGGCTGGCCAGGATTTGTATATTATTATCAACGCTTTCCTCGCCCTGAGGTCTTGGGACATTGGGCCGGGGCGCATCGTTGATTACAGCTCAGCCTCCACGGCATTCGAACTTGCTCCGGCCGAGTAAAGATGTAGTCGTTGTTCTTGGGTGGGTGGGTGCTGTGTTCTACATAGGTACCTAGGCATGGTTGCTTGCTGAGGTGGCTATCAAGGCACCTAAGCCCATGCCCGGCCCGTTGCCAGCTAGGCCCTGCCGGTAGAGAGCTCCACGGTCCCCAATTTCCGGAGCGAGGCCCTGTTGTTGAATTAGCCTAAACTCGCCTAAGCGGCTGCCGGACGGTCCCGCGCGTCGTCTGAAAAGGGATAGCACAGAGCAAAAGGGGATGCAGAATCATTCCACAGGCGCCCGAAACGGCCATGATGCTTGCCATGCTCGCGCCGCTGCGCCGCTGCGCCGCTGCGCCGTTGCGCCGTTTCGTTTCGGAATGCCGCTCCCTATCCTTCTCGAACCCGACCCACCCCTTGGCTAATCGACAAGCTCCACCCCACATGTTCCTCCTCTTTTACCCGAAAACAACCACCACAGTACGCATATAGCAGACGACTGGTGGAACCACGCTCGCTTTGCCAAATCCGGTACAATCGCCCGGCAGACCAAACAACCCTCACCCCCCTACCCGCCCGGGAAACCGCTGAAACATGGTTGCCAAGTTGCTAGACCCCACACTCCCAACGAGCCCCAAACCCTCCCGTCTCTCACCCGCCCTCGCTCACCGAGTTATATCAACCCTGCATTAAGGGCCGCCGGTTGGCCCACATCTCGGACTGTCAGCCGAGCCGCAACTTGACCTTCCCCTTTCGGGCAGCCTCCAAGTCGCAGGCTCGCAAAACGGCGCCGTCACCGCCCTCGCCTAACCAGAGGCATGTGAAAGGAAGAGGGGAAGTCATCCTGGGGATTATCGACTGATGTGATTGATCCTGCCTGGTCTAGGCCACTGCCCCCCCCGCATTACGTGTTCCGCCAAGATTTGATGCAGACTCTCACCCTACGTACGTCGGTGAAGAAGGTTGGACAGACCGGTGCGGAGAGCTCGGTCCTCGTTTTACCTCGAAGCACGCGTGCCACCAACACCTCCATTCATATGTCATGGCCATGTCGTAGACCGCATCATGCTGTTGGACTCGAATATATGACGCTGATTCTCGGTCGCTGGGTTGCTGGGTTGCTGACATATACCTATATACGGTACGGATCCGTATATTGGTTGAGTGGCGCAGAATCTGCCCTGTGTCTATCAAACAACGGTAGATCCCCTGGCGCTCAAAAGAGAACGTCACATATGCGTTCCCGCAAACCCCCTTGGCATGCGACACAGTTCATCTGATATGACAGACCCCCGCGACCGTGCCCGCGTCCGCTTTGGTTCATGTGACTAGAGAACCAGGTTTGTAGATCGGGGTATCGCATCGGCGCACCCCGTAGTCAGGCTGAAGACGCCCCGAACGTCAACCTGAATACCCGCAGCCTGGGTGCAATCATCAGTCGTAGTTCACAATGAGGGATGCTGTGCTTTTGGCTGGGCCATCAAGTTCGATGCCAGAAGTCCTGGCCAACTGCAAAGCCCATGGCTCTGCCTCCAAAGGCTCCAAAGCGGCGATAGATTGGCGACAACACTCGCCATTTGCCCTGCTGCGGCTGCGGCTGCTAAGATTCTCTTGTAATAAGTAATCGTTGCTTAATTCAATACGAAGTGTTTTCCTGATTTCTTGATTTTCGCATGGGTTTAGACGAACAAAGGCCGAAGAAAGCTGCAATACTGTGCCGTGGACGCCCGTAATATCGTTCTTGGAAATAAGTTGTCGATCCTCGCGTCCGTCGTATTTTTTTTTGCCTTTGACCCCTGGCCAATGAGATGGTAAGTAAGACTTGGTGTGACTCAACGTCATGCAGTAGCCCCTCCACAACCGGTCCTTCAAGCTCGTCGCATACTTTAATAACGGTGGAGCGGTTCCCGTGAGACGTTGGCTTCTCACTAGCACAGTCGGCTCCCAGCAACAAGAACAAGAGCAATCTTCAATCTGCGCCGCCATGGAGAAATTGGATAAAATTTTGAAGAGTTACGTCGCTGAGGGGGACGAGACGAAGGAGAAGGTATTTGGCGCAGCTTTCAGCGTGGTGAACAAAGACGGTGAGACCTAATTAGTTTCGCCATATCTTGTCTCGGCATGCTAATCATCAAGTACCTAACCAGGAATCATCTACCAAGGTGCAGCTGGACGGACAGACCTGCCAGTAACATCGCCCAGATTCGCCACCGACTCCTTTTCGTGGGTGGCCTCATTGACCAAGATTATCACTGCAACGGCCATCATGCAGCTTGTTGAGAAGGGCCTGACAAAGCTTGATGATGACGTGCGGCCACTGGTGCCTGAGCTGGCTAAGATGCAGATCCTTAGAGGCTTCGACGAGGACGGCAAGCCCATCTTGGAGGATAACGTAAAGCCTATCACGCTTCGGTATGCCTTCGGTTTCAACGCTGTTTCTCTTGTCCACATTTCTGGTCCAGTGCCATTGCCGACAAACTAACAATGGCACCTCAGCAATCTTGTTACGCACACCGTTGGGCTCGGCTACGATGTGGCTGACCCCGATCTGATGAAGTGGTCTGCCGCTGTTGGTCGCACCGTTACGAACCTGTCCTTCACGTTTGACGGATGGAACACCCCCCTGAAGTTCGCCCCAGGGGATGGATGGTACTATGGAAGTGCCATGGACTGGGCCGGCAAGGCTCTAGAGGCCGTCACAGGACAGTCGCTTGGCCAGTACATGACCGAGAACATCTTCAAGCCCCTGGGCATGCACGACACGACCTTCCACCCACTGAACCTGGCAGAGAGGGCCAAGGATCGCAAGGTAGCCTGCTCGTTCCGCGATGCCGATTCAGGCCTGCTGTCGATCGGGGCCCAACCAACCCCCGTCGACCCGCCAGCCGAAAGCGGCGGGGCCGGCCTCCATACCACTGCGGCGGACCACGTGAAGGTGTTGCGTGCCCTGCTCCGGGCACTGTCAGGGGACGGGGATACGCCCCTGGTCAGTAAGGAGACTGCAGAAGAAATGCTGCGGCCACAGCTGTCCGAGGTCCAGCAGCAGATGCTACAGTCATTGACTGGTCAATTCCACGACGCAATGGCTCCCGAGTTCCCGCTCGGAACGCCCCTGAACCACGGCATTAGTGGAATCATCAATACCGAGGACGTGGTGGGGAGGAGGCGGAAAGGGAGCATGATGTGGATCGGCATGTGCAACGGCCACTGGGTAGGCTCTCCCTAATATGTTCCCACTTAGTGTACCCGAGGGCTGACAGTGATCGATGAACCCAATAGTGGATTGACCGCGAGACGGGCATTGCAGCCACCCTTCTCGTCAATGTGCTTCCTCAGCCAGATGCGGTGGTAAACAAGCTTTACAATGAGCTCGAGGATGCGGTTTATGGAGAATTGCTACCGAGTTTGAAGGCACGGTGTGGCGGAAGGAAATAACCAGTGCCAGATGCCAGATGCCAGATGCTCCGCCGGCTACAAAGTCGACCAAGACCCTTGCCTGGGCTCTTCTCGTCCTGGCCGATTGATACCACTTCAGATGTACACACGGCATGTGATGCCTACCCGTTAAATCTTGGCAGGATTCTCGGTACCGCCTGACTCACTCCATGGTATTGGCACAGGTTGCAATAGGGATTTGCAGATATTGGTTCCTACCAGATCTAGTGGGCGGTGAGCACTGTGTCTTAAACAAAGGAGGGTCATAAATAAATTAAAGTGTTAGAGAGAGGTAGAAGAGAAAAACCCCCACTGCTCCCCCTTTGCCATTAAATAGTAGCATACAAACCTCTCCTAAAAAAAAAATCGCCCCCCCCCTTCCTTAGAATTCATCTACTCCTTCCCACTGCTTCCTCCTATGCCCTAAAGGATCTGATGGCCGTACGAGGGCGACCTCTTCCCCGCTTGGCTGGCTCCTTATTCTGCGACTTTGAACTGATGACCAGGTAGGAAAGTGCCTCTAAGTTGGGCTCACGCGGAGAGGGGAGGGAATCGGAATCGGATGACCGTGATCTCTTGCGCGGGTTAGTTCTCGACGAGACTGATACAGCCCGGGACCGAGAATCCGAGACTGGAGTCTCGAAGCCAGCCGGCATGTCGAGAATGCTGGGAGTCTCGGAATCTGTGTCATTATCAGAGCAAGAGATCCAACCATCATTGTCAGTCTCTCTCGGGCCAGTCTCCCTCGGGCCAGTCCCTCTCGGGCCGAGAGGCATCGGCTTAACGCCCGGGGCAGAGAAGGAGAATAACGGGAGGGTAGGCACCTTGGACGCTGATGTTGGCTGACTGGAAGCGGATGGTTCTGCGTTAGCAACCGGAGATTGCCTGGCATCGCTGCTCATCGGACCAGCAACACCACTCCGTTTGCTTGGGACATCTTTCTCGCCCCCGGCGTTCCTGTTGCCTTTCATCGGACGGTCGCTGGCGGCGGCACCTGTCGTCGTCTCCACGGGCCGGGTGCCAGACGTCGAGAGGTTGAACAGAGATTGCCTCTTCTTGGTTTTGGTCGACGTGCTTTGGCACTGCGTCGCCTTGGGCGGCTGCGGCACGGTGGATTTGTTGGAAGGCTTGCGTACTATGCGACTCCTGTTAGTGTACTGCTTGTCTGTCCTTGTGCACGACGCCTTACCGCTAGTTCCGGCTCGGAAGGGTATCGGGGCCTGCGCAGACTTGGGCACGGGCAGGTCATCCGCCCACGAAACCGCCATTTTCAAACCTCGTCGCATTTTGACAGTGCCAGGAAATGTACAGTCGTAACTCCATGCCTCGTGGTCCCAGGGTAGTTTACCTCTCTTCGTGGGGGGCCCGACCTTATAATACTTCCAACAATTCACGCATTTGGCGGGGGTTTTTGCAGTCGGCGATGTTGTTCTCGTGCGTCTCTGCACATCTCCCACAAGCCCGAGGGTTTTTGCATTGATCTTGGAAAGTGGCCCGGCGCGAAGCATCTGTAGCAGAAGAGATCGAAGTGTGCCAAATTGGTCGGCCTGGGAGACTCGTTAGTTAACGGCGCCTTCTGCTCCACTGCAAGAGAGCCGGAACTTATGCGACGTCCGAGTACATGGCGCTGCGGGATTCCCCGCACACTATGTAGATGCCCCGGCGAACAAGCGTCCGGGCACTCTCCACATCCTTTACGGATGCTATCAGTTTACCTCTCCGCCAGTGAAATCGATGAAGATTCACACCGGGGTTAATGTCTCGCAAAGTTTGTTTGAGAGTTGCCCAACAAAAACCTGATCGGGAAATACACTCTCAGGGTTTGTAGCCGGAATTATACCAAGGACCGGAGAAGGTTTTAGGTTGGTGTAGGTACCTACCCAGCTACCTAGCCTGGTGGGAAGGGGCCTTTTTTTTTTTTTTTTTTTTTTTTTTTTTTTTTTTGTTTTTTCGTTTGCGGGGGCGCGGTTTGGTCGTCGCTGTCCTGTTACGGTTTGGGCCCATGCATCAGATAACCCTTTCTCTTGACACTCCACAAGTAGTTTAATAAGGTAGCGTTTGTGGCTAGGGTGTTGATAAGGAGGCTCCTCGTCATGCCAGCCACTGACGAAAGAAACCTCAATGAGGTTTGTGTTTTACCTATAATTGTGATTGTTATGCTCGCCGGATCGCCAAGGGGAATTTGAGAGTGCAGCTGGCTGGGCACACAGCGAAGCATTTTGTGTTTCAGGTAGCTCTTGTCACCTGGCAGCAGCTGCGAGGCTTCAGCAAGGCTTCAGGAGGTTGGTCCGTTTCAAATGCCTGTCACGGGACGAGTCACGTTACCTAGGATTGTCGACTCGTACGCGCATGATTTGATGGAGAGGGATGAGGCGTCAACTCAAGAGCATTGCAATTCCACCCACGTCCATCTCAGCGAGTGGAATTGGACCAATTTCTGTTGATCACAGGTTATGCCTCCAATCCTTAATACCCAGAGGCTCAACCTCGTCTTCCAAGCCCGTCCTGACATCCTCTCGGGCATTCAGAAAGCTGCAGGTAAATTACGGTTGCTCGCTGTGCTGTGGCGCTTCAAACGAGACAAGCCTTTCCCCCATTTCCTTCCCCATTCCATCTCTGCGTCCAGGAACAACCAGCTGATCCCCATGCTCTCGTCCAGATTCCCCGGCGAGAATAAACCTGTTCAACGACATCGCAAGCTTCGTGTACGACCAACTGTCCACTCCCTCCACCGACGAGCCCCTCGCGAAGCGACGCAAAGTCGATCCCAGCGAGGAGAATGGCCTCTCGACACCACGGTCCCTGAATGGAGCCCCAGCCGCTGCGGGATCCTCGGAGCGCTCAGCAGCCACGGAACCTGTCCTTCTAGAAATAAAAGACATTTCGGTAACAGTGCCTCAGCGCAAGAAATACAACCTGTGCTTCACCGAGAATTTTCTCTACGCGAGGACCAGCGCGTCTGCAGTTCCTGTGCAAGGCACTGTGTACGCCTGGAGAGACATTGGTATGGATACATACAGTGATACGGCCGTTTGCACTGGACCAACCAGATGGCTAACAATTGGTACCGCAGAGCATGCCTTCTATCTCCCGATTCCGGAGAAGTCCCAGATCCAGCACAACTACCTGCTGTTCCCCCGCGGATCTTCCCTCCCCTCGAAGACGACAAACACCATCGACACCGAGCCACTCGTATTTTCCGTCCCCTCCTCCGCCCCCAAGCCGGGAAGCATATCCGGCCCGTCGGCAAATGCCGCGAGTGCCGTCTCGGATAGCCACAGCAGCCTGTTCCACTGGGCCCTGACGACATGCCTGCGGTCGGCGGGCAACAGGGATTGCCAGCTGGTGGCCTCCGACCCCAAGATTTTCCACAGCGCCACCAAGCCGGCGTATCGGCCAAACGAGAAGGCCGTGTACGTCAAGGCCTTCCGCGGCAGCAAGGACGGCTACCTGTTCTTCTTGCCGACCGGCATCCTCTGGGGCTTCAAGAAGCCCCTGCTATTCCTGCCGCTGGACAGGATCGTCGCCGTGAGCTACACCAGCGTGTTGCAGCGGACGTTCAACATGGTGGTCGAGGTGGAGGCCGCCGACGGAGGTGATAACGAGGAGGTCGAGTTCGCCATGGTCGACCAGGAGGATTACCAAAACATTGACGAGACGTACGTGAAGCGACACGGGCTGCAGGACCGGAGCATGGCGGAGCAGAGGAAAGCGAGGCGCGAGTTGGCGGAGAACGCGAAAGACGGGAAGAAGAAGGACGATGGCGCCGCGGATGGGGCGGCGAACGGGGACGTTGCAGAGGGCGATGACGGGTTGACGGAGCTGGAGAGGGCAAGGTTGGAGGCCGAGCGGCAGCTGCAGGATGATGAGGACGAGAGCGAGGAAGACTATGACCCCGGCAGCGAGGGCGAGAGCGAGGGCTCGGGTGATTCAAGCGATGAGGACGACAACGACGGAGGCGATGGTGAAGGATACGATGATGAGGAGGAGGAGGAGGAGGACGACGACGACGACGAAGAAGCTGAGGCCTTCGACGTTGCCGGCTGAACGAGCGAGGCTGGCGAAGATGGATGCATGGCTATTCCGCCTCCGGCTGGGTCTGTGGCAGGTCCGCAGGGAGGGGGATGTTACTTTTTATGGGGAACGGTAGACGCCACTTGTTTGCTGGGTCGAGTTTCCTTTCAACTTTTTTTTTTTTTTTTTTTTGGGGGGGGGGAGGTGGGTGGGGGGACAGAGTAGACCAGGCGATCGGAAGCAACATCGAGCATAGCCCACGGGCAGAAGAAGAAGGTGGGAAATCGGCCAGGCTTGGCAGATGTTGGACCGTGACGTCTTGTCCCAACAATACACAATGCACAAAGCACTAACAAAGAGTATTTATTGTATGTCTACCAGATCATGAAGCTGGCTTGCCCGTATCCTCTTCCTCTTCCTTCTCACTCTTCCTGTCTTCGGGCGTGTCTTCCTCTGACGCAGGTGACCCATCATCGTCGTCGGTCTCTGATTTACGCCCCTCTTTCCTCTCCTGTTTATCAAGAACCTCCTTGACGTCGTCGCTGACGTCGCTGGTCCCATCCCAATCCACGTCGTACTCGACGGCGACCTTCTTGATGTCACCCCTCAGCGCGTTTGCGTCGTGCAGCAGTTGCTCCCACTTCTGCAGGTCGAACCCCCTCGCCTCGTAGAGGGCGTGCTGGCGCCTCGACACGGTCACGTTCATGGCGGATTTGTAGCTCAGGTCGTGGCTGATGTACAGGAACCAGAGATAGCCGCCCATGATGGTCGTCAGGCCGGCCAAGTAGGTGACGGGCTCGACGAGGTCCCATCCAAAGTCGGTGAAGAAGGTGGTGAAGAAGACGACCCCCCACCAGCCCGTGAGGACGGCGAAACCGCCCTTGGCGAGGCGGTGGGCGCCGCGGTGGGCGAGCATGTCGCAGTCGTGCTTGATCCTGGCCAGCTCGTCGATGCGGCGGCTCATCTTGCGCAGGCGCACGCGCATGTAGTGGGTGCGGTCGCCGAACGACGGCACCCCGACCCGCACCTCGTCGCCGCACCCCTCGATCTCGATGGCGAACTCGCGGCCCCGCGCGGCGTCCCGGATGAAGTCGCCCATCTCGGTGCTGCTGCTCCACCGCACCCAGCTCTTGTCCGCCCGCTTGCGCTCGGGGCCCTCGCGCCCCAGCCCGGAGTAGGACGCCACGTGGGTGGTGGGCCCGCCGCTCTTGCCCACGCCCCTCGACGAGGTGCCGTCTGCTTTCTTGTCCCGCGCCCTGGCCTCGCCCCGCGTCGTCGGCTTGTTGTCGCTGCCCATGGTGTCCTCGGCGCGGAAGTAGACGCTGGGGATCTTCTCCTTGCCGTTCACCGTTATCGGCGGCACTTCGGCCTGGATGAGGCGCTCGACGTAGGATAGCGGCTGCTGGGGGTGCACGAGCAGGGCGAGTGGCTGGATGGTCTCGCCGCTCGACACGCCCCGGGCGTTGTCTCCGTCTCCCGAGTCGTTCGATTCTTGTTGGGCTACGCTGATGGGCAGGGGCAGGACCAGCTTCAACAGGCGGGTTGGCGTCGTCAAAAGCTTCCCTGCGAACGCCATGACAACAGGTCAGCAATATGCCCAATAATTACTTGACCAAAATGACGGGGCCGGTCGAACGAGCAACGAATACCTTTTGTCATGGAATTGGCGTCTCTCCCGGCGTCGTCGGCGGGTGGCTTGTCGGCGTTCTCCCGGTGCCATGGCCGCTTGGCCTGGTGTTGTCGGACCTTGACTTCCTGCTCATGCTTGTCGAGCCCCTTCCGGTCGAGCCCCTTCGCTTTCTCATCGTACTTGTTGTCCCAACGCCGCGCTGAGAACGAGATGGGCAGACAAAGCCGAGGGTCAATCCCCGTGGGAGGGCATCGCGGCCTGGGAGCAGACGTTGGTAGTTTGACCCTCGTTGCCTTCAATGAGGGAAGGCATCGGAATGCATGGCGCATCGCGGATTTGGTTGCTGTGGACAGCAGCCTGGACTCTGGCTTTCGAATTGCTGGGGCATGTTCAGGTGCCAGGGCTGCATGATGTAGCGTTGTTGGGGGGACATAAATATAGTGACGTCACTGCCCACCCATCCAAGGCAGGGTCCCACCCGCGCACTTTCAGGATGATTCCGCGAGTAGCAGCAATGGCAAGCGCAGGACGCGGTCAAGAATGGAGAAACTAGGCTCAACCCGAGTCCACGAATGGAATATCGAGGTTTTCTCCTCGAGGACAGGCCGGGATGACGAAACGAAGGTGAATACGACATGGAAGGAGAAATTCTTTTTTGGACGCAGGCGCACTGGGAGTAAAAGCATCAAGCTAAAGGAGACGCTGGGGTGGCAAGGAATAGCAACGGGTAGAATAACACCGTGAAGTTACGCAGCGTGGTGAGTGGTAGGTAGGGCATAGGGGCATTCGCACTCCTCCTGGTGGTCCTCATTCCACTGTTTATAATAGCCACCTGAAATTGCACTGATACCAGCAGAACAGGGTTGCAACAGTAGAAATGGCGGCGAGGCACGCGGAGAGAGTCAGGAGGGGGCAAGTAGATAAGTGAAGAAAGGAAAAAAGAGAAAAAAAAGGGGGGGGACCAGTCCAATGGTCGAAACCGCACCTCGAGGTTTTGTCGTCATCGCTGGAGAACTGCCCGATAATCTTTCAGCCTGGCACGTAAACCAACTAGGCCACCACGCAGGCACAGTGGCAGGTCATAATTTGACATCGTATATAAATCCCTATCCCAAACCTAGGCCGGCCGTTCTGTCAGGAGACGTTCACCTTGGCCACCAACATGTGGAGGTGTGTACCCAGGTGTGCATATAACCTGGCCTATGCGCCATACCATATCTTGACAAGTGAATAACAGGAACTGATAGAAAGGCCTCAGTCCTTTCTCTCCGTTCACTTCCCTCCCCAACTCCCGCCCCTGCCTCCACAAGCATGTGCACCCAAGATTCCCAACGCACTGCTTCACTCCCAGTTTGAGCTCAGTGTCTGACCCCCCGTGGTGGGGACCTCGTAATTACTTGAGTGGCGGTGATCAGCCTGCTTCTAGGCAAGGAGAACAAGAGGGTATGCTGAATAATTATATGGAGGTAATGTGGGTAGAGGTGTGTTTGTTGACGTGGCGACCTACTAGGGACATTTAGGTATGTACCTCAGGCAAGTTTTCACTCGTCTCTCACAATTCAAATAAATGGAACTTCAGAGGCTCAAATGTAATTATCTGCCAAGGGAGGGGAGCTTCGCTCGGTCCTCCTCCTCATGGGGCAGAATCATCGGCCCATCACGCTACACGTCTGACATCAGTCAGTCCTGTGTCCTGTACCGTTAAATAAACTTGAGAGGTATCTATCTATATTGCTAGAAATAACAAAGAAGCCAGAGGCTATGTGCTTCGCCAATCAACTTCATTCATCTTCCCAAACAGCAGCTAATCAGTGTCCATGCCGCAGACACACTCTGATGCTAAGATTGTATGCTATGCGATCCATTGATCCAACCCGTCTAAATGCATTGTCTCCTGTGTTGAATAGGTATAATGCGGAATGATGCATTATGGAAAAGCATCGCTGAGATATGCGTCTAAGGCCGTCATGTTGATTCATGTGGGAAACGTCGTGAAACCGTCAAAAACAAAAGTGATCAAATAAATGACAAGATAGGCCTTCGATATCACCGCGAATTGGTGATGCCCGCACCTGCCTCGGGCTGGACCTGTTGGTCTGAAAGCCTCGAGTTCTTCAAAGCCAAGGCAAATGCAATCATTGGCACACACAACCAAATTCCGGCGATGCAGAGACGTCTCTGGACGTCCTGATAGCTCTCAATAATGGCGTCTCGGATGACGGTTCCCACGGGGTAGTGCGAGATGACTGAAAAGGGGGAGTGATAGACCGCCTCAGCTAGACTGGCATTTGGCTGGAACGCCAGATTTGCCTGTAGCGCCGGAAGGAGCGTCTGCGTCCAAATAGCCCCGGACAAGCAGGTGCCCAGCGCGCTGCCGACATTGTAGAAGGAAAGATAGAGCCCAGTCAGAATAGCGACGTGCTCGCGGGTTGCGGACGCCTGGATAGATGCCTGGGTCGGATACGCGAACAGGCCGCCAGCCAGCCCCAGGAGAACCTGCGCACCGATGAGACCGGACTTCGACTCTGCCGACGCGCCGCCGGGAAACTTGATGAGGAGGGCGAATGCGACCATGAAGATGCAGGTGCCGGCGACGATGATGTATTTGAGCCTGCGAACCATGAAGATGACCAACCCCACGATGATGCCACTGACGACGCCGAAAAAGGAGAAGAACGACTGGATGCGGGTGGCACTGTCGATGGAGAAGTCGAAGGCAACCACCAGGACAGTGTACAGGTAGTTTCCCTGGGTATACCAGGCAAAGTTGAGCAAACTTCGAACGGCCAGCGCGGCCCAGACGCCACGGTCGGTCAGGAGATGGAACGGGACGAGTGGGGCTCTTGCACCTCGCTTTTCCCAGATGACGAAGACGGGGACAAGAGCAAGGCCGATAAGCAGCGGGACAGCAATCTGCGGGTTGTGCCAGTTGTCGACCTTCTCGCCGGCCATCGTCAGGGGCGCCAGGACGAGGGAGAAGGCCGCCACCAGGCAAACGAGGCCGACAACGTCGAGGTGGTGAAAGAGCTCAGAGCCCAGCTTGCCGTAGCCGAGCAGCTGCAGAGGGGTTTCGTAGTCGGCCACGGCGCCGGACCTGCGAGCGCGGCGTTCGATGGAGTAGAGGGAGAAGAGCAACGGCACCGACGTGACCGAGCAGATGATGGCCCACATGCCAATCCCCCATCGCCAGGTTGTCACGCCCAGCACAGCGGACGTCACTTTGCCGCTGATCCACGTATTGACGAGATAAGGCATGGCGGGGATGTAGCTGAAGAAGACGCGAGCCCGCATCGAGGAGAAGTCGGCGATGAGGATTTCCATGAGCAGCACGATGCACGTGTAGCCGATCTGGTATATGACAGCGCCCGCGCAGAAGGCCTCGACAGAGCTGGCAGTGGCTTCGATGGCGATGCCGACGATGTATAAGATGGTCGAGAAAGCGAAGACCTCGAAGCGCCCGAAAACGTCGGCCGTCTTGGCGGCGGTCGGCTGGGCGGCGACGGCGACGACACTCCGCAGCACGTTGATGGTTGCCAGGTACGAGTGCAGGGAGAAGCTGGATGTTGCGTAGGGCTGGTACGTGGACCTGACTTGGCTTTCGAGCCCGTACGAGTAGCCGACGAGGAAGATGGAGGCGAAGACGAACACGCGCTCGGTGGTGGTGAGCTGGGCCGAGATGATGGCCATGCGGGCAACGCCCGGAGACCTGATGGACCGCAGGTCGGGTACCTCGCTGCTCCGGCCTGACTCGCCATCATTTTCATGCCGGCATGGTTCCTCGAGAGCGGATCGCTCGGTGGCGGCGCGGCGGAGGCCGTGACCCAGGAGCGGGGTTGCCTCGAGCGGGGAGGCGGTGGCCATGGCGCCGGTATTTTACTATTTTACCGGGGAAGACGTGGTGTGGCAGAGCGCTGGAAGCTACCGTGGAGCGCGTTCAGGGCGACCACCTGGGTTCGATCATGGGCGAACTCGTTCAAGAGATAAATAACCGGTGAACGAAAGTTGGGATTGTGGGAACGGGTAAGCGCAAGCAGGCAGCGGATCTGATAAGATAATCGGCGGATCTAACCGCATAGCGGGGCTTTCCTGGCCGATCTCGGCCTACATATATATGTACATGTACATACGGCACTAAGTACCGGGCTAGGTAGGCAACGATCCTTCGCAGAGCAGGCAGCCAAGCACCCAAGGTGTGCCGTCGCAAACGAGATGGATTGCTCAAATACACGCAGGCAGAGCCGACTTGATCTCCAAAGTTGGAAATATTACAGCCCTTTTTCCTCGTTTCTAAACATGGGACGCGGCACGATGTTGCACGCACCATGACACCATGCCGAGAACTGCCAAGGTAACCGTTACATTATTCATGCCCCACTTTGTGCACTGACTTCACTTGGAATTGCGTTAGGGTGCATATTATGCCCTTATAGCGATATATCTATCTATTTTGTCGACTCTAGTAGTGGGACGGTTGTTTAACTCGACGACAGGGAGATGAAACAGCAGAGATAAAATGAACATGGAAGATAAATAAAAAGGCAATCGTGGAGTGTTGAAGGTGTAACAAAGTTCGACGCTCGCGTTTGATGCGACTGGAGGTGCTCGGCTTTTCGGGGTTAGCAAACTGAATATTTTTCGTTCCGCTCGGAGCCGAGCATTCACTGAGGGGGGTGCATGTCATGACTCGACATATGAAGTCTTACATCTTCACCCGTCTTTTGAATGCCCGACGACGATTTCCTTCTGATGATCCAATCGCAAAGGAGAGACAAGATATAATTAATTATAAACTACCCGCCACGGTGAACGACGGCAGTTGACGACCAACCGATCCAGCGGCTGAACACCAACAAACTAGAAATGGCGACGGAGGGTAGAAAGCGGTTGTCTGTCGCCACACGCCGTGTCCTCGAAGAGCTCGGCCTCGCCTCCCTGTACCGCTCGCATGTCGACGTCAAGCTGTTGTGCCTGCAGCGCTTCGTGAGGCTGTTCGCATACGGCGCGTCGACGCTGGTCCTCGTCTCATTCCTTCGGGAGCTGGGCATCTCCCAGAGGCGCATTGGTCTCTTCATGACCTTAACGCTGACCGGTGACGTCGCCATTAGCTTTGTGCTGGCCCTGTTTGCCGATGGGGTCGGTCGCAGAGCCGTCCTGGCGCTCGGCGCTGCCCTGATGATCGCGAGCGGCGTGGTCTTTGCCCAGTTTGAGAACTACTGGGTGTTGCTCGCCGCGGCAGTTTTTGGCGTCATAAGCCCGAGGTAAGTCGGAGGAAGGAATATGCAAGACGCGTCGCGGGGTCTTGACCCTCGTACGGATGCTGTATATGACATGTTGGTTGTCTGACGCGGTTATTAGCGGACGAGAGATTGGGCCATTCCGGGCTGTCGAGGAGAGCACAGTCGCCCACCTGACCACTGCAGGCGATAGGAGTGACATCTACGCCTGGTACAGCCTTCTTGGGAATGCCGGGACGGCGTTTGGCATGATTACATGCGGACGGGTAATCCACCACCTGGACGAAGATCTCGGCTGGCAACTCGTCGATGCATACCGAATGGTCTTCTACGGCTATGCAGCGCTGGGCGTGGCGAAGATTACGCTAGCACTCATGCTCAGCAGTGCCGTAGAATTGGAGAAACCCGCCACCGAAGAGCAGCCAGCGCCCACCTCCACCAGCAACAGCGAGGAGACAGCGCCCCTTCTGGCAGGTGAGACGGCAGAGAGTGACGCGTCAGAAAGGGACACGGCCCCGAAGGCTGCCAACTCACGGGGACGATCATTGCTCTCGGGAATCAGTCGAGAGAGCGTCCGAGTTATGGTCAGCCTGTGCCTTTTGTTTGCGCTGGACAGCTTTGCCTCAGGACTTGCTCCTTTGTGAGTATTCTTGCCCGCAAAGTTGCTCATTAATTACCCCATCCTTGGGGGGTGGGGGGGGACTGACAGCTATCATAGGTCTTGGATAACATTCTTCTTCCGGTCACGCTATAATCTAGGGGAGGGCAAGCTTGGCCCGGTTTTCTTCACCTCGAGTATCATCTCGGCAGCCTCTGCAATTGTAGCCTCTTCCCTAGCTAAGCGTTTCGGAAACGTCAAGGTAAGAAGAACGACACCGAAGAGACTCACTACCTGTAGATGGTTGTTATTTTGGCTGATACACCCGGGATTTTTAATAGACAATGGTCTTTACCCACCTTCCATCAGCCGTATTCCTCGCGCTAATTCCGATTCCGAACGACGTACACCTCTCCGTCATGTTTCTTCTCCTACGCGCTTGCACGCAATCCATGGATGTCGCACCGCGCTCCGCCTTCCTGGCCGCCATCGTTCAGCCGCAGGAAAGGACGGCGATCATGGGCCTAGTTAACGTGGTGAGCACTGCTTCGCAGAGCCTGGGACCGTTGATCACCGGCGTGCTGGCCGAGTACAACTTCTTCTGGGTTTCGTTTATCTGCGCCGGAAGCCTAAAGGCGTGTTACGACCTCGGTTTGCTGGCTCTATTCAAGAACCACGAGCGAGACAGGGCGAGGCGTAGGAGTACAGAGGCTTGACTGACTGACTCGCCCGTTCTGTCCAACCAGACCCCTGCTCCTGGGACCCATCTTGTCCCTTGAGGCGCGAGACGGTGTCAAGGGTTATTGATAAATGCAGATATGCCCTCCTCACCCTCGATTGTTCTTTTCGTTTTCCGTTCATTTCTTATTAAGAGAAGATCAACACCATGGGAGACACGTTGTGACGCATTGGTCTTGACCTTTGCCTGCCCTTGCCCTTGCCTGCCCTTGCCACTCCAGTTCAGGGACTTTGGTGAAAAACGTGACTTCATACAGGCGACGTCCCCTACGAATTCGAAATATTGCCACTTATAAACACCACAAGCACGGCGGCGTATCTAATCATTGTCAGCAAGTTTCCCACATCTTGACACGACGAATCAATTGCTCACGCGGCGGTGGCGCCAAAGATCTCGGCCCTTCTTGCATTGGTCATCAGAGCAATAGCCGCAGCGAACGCAGCTGTGAACACGGCGACCATGACGAGCTTCGTAGCATCATTTCCAACGAAATATAATCCGGTAATGGGGCCGATGAGGAGAATCGCAGCTACTACAACGCTGACGAGGCTGACGGCAATGTATATGGGGCGCTCTTCAAAACGACCGATCCTGAACCTCCCATCTCGAGCAGGCTCTTCCTATCGAGGCAGAGTATTGTCAATCCCTATTAAGGACCTGAAAATAGAAGAGGACCAACGGTCAGCCGATTTACCTTGACTGGCCAGTATTGTCGTAATATCCGCGACAGAGAGTCTACCTCGGCAGTTCGCCCTGCATTCTTGCAATTTCCTGCCAACAAAACTCGCCGGTTATTTCGTCCTTCTTGGTTTGATGTGTGACAAGAATGCCGAATGTGGAATGGCTGCCTGCGAAGGAGGCTCCTCCATCTGCATTTCACCCTCCGACCAGGAGGAGCGTAAGTGGGCTGAGGTTCTGAACTACATCAACATGAAGGGAAATCGACTATTACACGCCGCGCACAAAAACCCGAAGAACATAACTCGATACGCTGTTCTCGGCGAAATCGACGGTACACCAGTCGAAGCCCTGCCGGACACGGGAGCCAGCGAGTGCTTCATATCCGCCAGCATGGTCCAGAAGCTCGGACTCTCGCAAGCTCCCGGCACGGAGAAAACGGTGACTGTCGCCAACGGGACCCAGACGCTGTCTCCCGGCTGCGTCCACGTGAAGTGGAAGTTTGCGAAGGAGCGAAAGACGCACCCCGTCAAATGCTGGATCCTCCCAGGCTGTGCCTACGACGTCATTCTCGGGAGCGGCTTCTTGAAGGCGACGCAGACGCTGACGAAATGGGTCAATCGAATCAAGCGGACTGTGGTTTCCTTGCCTCGAGACACTGGCTCTGATGTCATGCTGGTATCCCTGAAGTACGCTCGCGCACTGGGGCTGTCGATAGATGACAGTGCCAGCCATAAGCTCGAGCTAGAACTTGGAGATGAATCGACCGCATACACGTGTGGGCTTGTTCACGACGTCCAGTGGAATGTTGGGGATAGAGCCACGAGGTGCGACTTCTACGTTCTCGAAGATCTCAATGTGGACGTTGTCCTGAGTAGCGAGTATGTCTTCGACCTGGACATCTACTCCGAGTGCAGCGGTTACCTTTTCGATGTTGATGCCGGACAGGACCTGCTCGAGCTCTGCCATATCAGGCTTATTAGCCGTTACGGAGGCAGGCTCAACAAACTAGAGGAGCAGTTCTTCGAGGACTGTAGGTATTACTCCATGATATATGGAAGGTAATTAGTGGAGGAAGAGGGTCCGGGTATTCATTCCCTTGATCTCATCGCGGGGGAGAGGTAGGCCACAAGGTTAGGACGGGCCTTGTCGACCATTCCCGAGGCAAAGATTCGATCATTAAGAATGGGGGCGTTTTGTGGTAACCCGATGTGTTCTTTTGGGCGGCAAGGATGACATTGCAGCGTTCTGTTAGGACAGTTTCAATATTAATAGTCGCAGCCTGGTCCTCGAAGCCCATCTCTCCATTGGAATTCTCGGTCTAATCCATAATTACACCGCATATAGCAAGAGCTCCACTCGGTGTACGGCCGTTTTTCACTCCGTGTACGGCCTTTTTGAATTTCAGCCACAAGGTCCCACACAAAGCCCCGCAATGCTTACCGCCTACTAAATTTGGTGATAACCGACATTCCAACCACTCCTCTGTAATCATCACCACTACTTGTGCTAGCGACAGGAA